ATACGATAGTACTGATGTGTGCCTACTGATGTTGATAATGTACAGACTGGGGTTGTATATGATGATCATGATTATACTTGAATGAACTTCTGACCTGTGAATAAACATAATTTGGTTCAAATAATTCATTGTAAAATATTTAAACTCTGGTGAGCTTTCTGACCTCTTGGAGTATGTTTTGATTGAAAACTGGTACCTTTTTCTTAAAGGTCCCATGACATGCTTTTCCGGTTATTACCTGTCCCCTTGTGTGTTATGAAGGTTTTTCTGCATGTAAACGGTCTGCAGAGTCACAAACCCTCAAAGTACACCCTGTAGCGAGTAAAACTCTAACACAGAAAAGACCTGTCTATGCTGCCCCAGAACGCCTCGTTGGAGATTTCTCATTTTCCATTGTTTTCTTCCTGGGTTCTGTGACGTGTGAACACCCAAATCAACAACAAATGACCGGATTGGCCCAAATGGACCAATCCGCGGAGCACCTCACACACCAGGATCCCTTGGCTAACTAACAGGGAGTCCCCATTGACTTGCATAGAGCTCCCTGAACGCTGGTAATAGACGAGTTGGGATCGCGGAGAAATGCTCTCCGCAGACCCATTCTCACAGCGTTATAAACCTTTTTCTTACTCAATATCAAGCCACAATTATTGTTTTTACTTCGGCTGTGAGTGTTTGTGTGTGCTCAGGATGAGTTTCGCTTGTTCTCGCTGTATCGCCGACCCGGAAACCTGTCCGCTCCTCGCAGCAGCTCGCAGCAGCGGCGAGCAGCAACGAGCCTCGCAACGTCCCGACCAATCAGAGCACACTGGGCTCACAGGGGGAGGGGGGGGCAGGAGCTCCAACAAGCCGTTTAGGACAGAGTGAATACACATACTGTACAGAGATGCTGTATGAGAAACCAATGTGAGTTTGGAAAATTGCACAATTTAAATCTATTCTAGTAGACATCAACAATGGAAACATGATCAGTAGAAATGGCCATGACATGGGACCTTTAAATGGGTAATTAGATAGATGGAGATACAAGGAACAACTGAGGTAATTCTTTATAAATTATTTGATTTAAAGGACCAAGGACATTCAGACCACTGATGACAGCTCTCAGTCACCAGTAACAGTCTCAGTGCTCTCAGCAAGCAGCCACACCCAACCTCACACAGCACCAGTAAATCTGCTAAAATCGGCTAACTTAGATAAACTAATTGGCCTAGGATAAGTCAATTAAGAGAACACAAAACTCTTATTATGATGCCATAGATAATCATAAACAGCTTAAAACAAAAAAATAGCCTGTTGCATGTGTATCACCTGCCATGGCAAAGCAGGAAACTGCTGAGCGAACATGAAAAACAACACTTGGTTTAAGCGATATAATTTGTCTAATAATTTGCGACCAAACGTCATCACGGCTGCGAAACGCCCATTTGTGTAGTCACTAATAAAGTGAGGGTGCCATTTGTTTGTACTGAAAAGGGAAAGGATTCTTTTTATTTGTTTTTGATGGCATTAACCTGCTTTTCATATTACTTTGATTTTTTTGGACATTTAGTTTGTTTTTATGTGATGTTGGGATTTGGCTAGGATGGTGGGTCATTTTTCATGCAAAAAAGCTGATTTCCCTTTATATCCTCTTTTATTAAGCATTTTACAGCAATGGGTAGATAAAACAAGCAATTTGAACAGAATCATTCTGGTACCTGGGAAACTACAACAGGAGTTTTTTAAGTAATTTGACACTTTCACAACAGCAACACAAGAATTTAGATTATGGCAGTAGACAAAATTCATTGTTTAGTCAGAGTTGCAAAACAGTGAAAGACTACAAAAATATAGTAGGTTATTAAATTAAAACCAGAAGACCATACGTAACAAAAAGATTCCTTTAATAATAATAATAATAACATACACACAACTTCAGTCTTAACATTAGTGGAGTTGCAACGCTCAGTAAATCTACAGAGAAATATTCTGATAATCGATTAATTGCTTAGGTAATTTACAAAAATGGCAAAAATGCTTTTTTCCAGCCTTTCAAATATGTATATGTTGTCCTTTATTCTGTTATATCAAATTAAACTGAATACTTTTGGGTTATTGACTGACAAAACATGACATCTTCAGAAACTGGAATGGACATTTTTCACAATTTTCTTACAATTTATAGTCCAGAAGTGGCAGATGAATCGATTATTACAATAATTTGAATTTTGAGTTGCAACCCTTAACACAAGACAGCATTCTTGCCTTCCCCCCAAACACTAGTTAGATTTTAATCCCAATAATTCAGAGGCATGAAGAGGAGCAGCGGACGGCAGCTCCATGCGTTTCCTTTTGTCCTTAGCACGATTGATAATCATCTTGAATAAGTGACAGTACAACTCCATGGAAATAGGCGTGTCATCATTGCCGGGCACGGGGTACGTCAACAGGCTGGGATTGCAGTTTGAGTCCACCACTCCAATTGTAGGAATGTTCATCTTTGCTGCATCTTTGATTGCCACGTGCTGCTGAAACACATTGTTGAGAGTGGAGAGGAAGACGATGAGGTCTGGCAGGCGGACCCCAGGGCCGTACTGGATCGGGGCGTTGGTGAGGAGGCCGCCCTGCCAGTAACGGGTGTGAGCGTACTCCCCACATCCCTTAGCAGTGCTCTCCACCAGCTGGCTGAACTGACGCTGGCGGCTGACAAACAGTATGACGCCCCCCCGATACGCTACATGTGCGGTGAAGTTCAGGGCCAGCTGAAGGTGCTCCATGGTCTGGTCCAGATCAATAATATCTTGTTCCAATCGGCAGCCATACAGGTATGGTTCCATGAGCCTGTGAACACAAATAATTACAGTTAGGCTATGTATGATATTGCATACTATTCATTGCCACAGTTTCTGAGTATGATATGTGGGCTTAAAGGTGGGGTAGGTAAGTTTGTAAGTTTGAGAAACCGGCTCGAGTGCGCTAGAATTTGAAAATACACAACGGGAAAAAATCTGCCACTTCCTTACAGAGCCCCTCCTCCAACACACACAAACGCGCAAATGACCAATGAGGGCACGAGATAAGTTTGTGCACAGATGGAAGGCTGACAGGCAGGTAGGCCATCCAGTTATTTTAGCTGGGCCGGCTAAAATGATTGGTCGTGCTTTCTACAGTACTACGGCTTCCACAGATGAAATATTTTTATGGATTTTTTGTCAAAGCACTTAAGATATTCATTGCTATCGAGATGTTAAGAGCATTCCATGGAATAACAAAAAGTGTATCTCGAGCCGGTTTCTCAAACTTACCTACCCCACCTTTAATGGACGAGATATTTCTTTCTGAAAGGCTATTACCGTACTGGTTACTTTGCAGCCCGGACATTTCCCCCAAAACACATTTAGACACGAACTCAACACAGAAGTACCTTTCAAATCCGATCATTTTTAAGACCTTCTAAAATCATATTTAAGACTTTTCTTATAATAATATTTAAGACTTTTTAAGGCCTTCAATTCTGATTATCAAATGTAAGACTTTTTAAGACCCCGCGGGAACCCTGTGTATGTATGTATACACATATATAGGGCACACACAGGGCAGTCCAGAATTTGTACAGTTACCATGCTCTAGATTTACTCCACTGGGTTGAAACTGGTAATTGATTTAATTTGAATCAATATTTTCGAAAATCAAAACAGAAACAAGGTCAATCCAAAGTACAACACTGGTCAATTTCCTTTAGTTGATCAGAAGCTATTTGTTAATTTATTTGATTGGTTGTACAACTGAAAAAGAACAATCAGCAACTAACTAACAAACTGATTAGTAGCTGCATTTTAAAACATTGGCATTGTTGAAGGGAACCTGTGAACAAAGAATTGCATGGCCAATGATAGTTTCACTGGAATCGTAGAGCATAAGAGACCTTTAAAATTAATTTAAGGACGACACATTCAGTGCCGAGTGTAGAAAATGTGATATTTCAGTTGTTTCTGACATTTAAGAGCCCAAAACGAAACATAAATGTATTTGAAGACAGCCAGCAGATTACTTGATAAGGAAAAGAAAGTTGCAGGCCAATCTTTTACACTCAAATTATTGAATAAATAGAGTTGCTTTACCATTATGTATCTCTCTGCGGTATACGGTTATGGTACATGGATGACCCTAACCAAACAATTCCCACCCCAATGTCACTGCAGATCCAACGCAACAAAATACATAAAGGGCTGATGAGCTTTACTAATACCAACCTGTGTCTGCAGCCCTTCTTATGTCCAAGATGCACACTGGCCTCGAACAGGGATTTGACCGAGAAGAGCTCCGACACACGAAAGAAGTCAGGCTTCTCGAGTGGCAGGGTCATTATCCTTTCTGTATGTAGGAGAAATGACATTGCTTAAAGTCTAACATAAAACAAACTTGCACACACCTGACCTGATGGTTAAGCATTTGTTAGATTACCTGAAGCATCCTTAACTTGTAGTTGAGGTGATTTGACAGCTGCCTCGGTGCCGTAGAAATGTCCAGAAGCGGGGTATCCCATTGTAACAGCTCTGGACTGTCGTAGCGCCCAAAGCCCTTGAAATAAAACACAAATATCAGTCAAAGAAACCGATATAAGTTAACTTGTGACAAGCGAGTAGTGCTAGCTACGGAGCTTGCTAACGTAACGGACGTTAGCTGTGATGCTAATGTGCCCGTTAGCATTACAAACAGAACAATGCTACAGCATGTTTATTGTTTGTGATACTCCCACATGATTCAGTTTATAACATTACTTTGTCGGATAGTAAACCATGCTTCCATACCTTTCGTAAGTGCCCGGGCAGCCATGCTTGCTTGAGTACCACGGAAGGTCAGCAAACTGCGACTGCGTGTTTGTAGTTCAGGGACTGCCGTAAAGTCCGTCTGTCGTGAACGCTCTATGCATTAAACTACATCACCCATGACGGCAAATCATTGTCTTTACGTTTAAACTTTATTGAAAAAGAAATACAACACAACTGACAACGGCATCGTGTTATTTGGCTTTAAAAGATATACACAATATAAACCAACGTTACTTTTAAGAAATAACTCATAGAACACATGTCTGGCAATAAAGATGACATATTTCAAAACAAACAATAACAGCTGTAGTATGTTTCATGCCATCTATTTGGTGCAGGAAAATAATAATAAGGTAATATCAATTGGCTAAATAAACAACAAATTAACTTCCAAATCTCATTACATATTTTGGAAAAACCTTATTAATATTTAATTAGGAAGATGACAAAGATGTTTCTTTTGAAATCCAACTTAAAACAATGCCACCTGCCTTCAACATCAAGTCTAACACCAAATCTTCTAACGCCTAATGAAGTGTAAACAATTATTCAGCAACCCACATATTGCGATACCATGCATGCCTCAAATGCAAAGGTATGTTTTATTTTGTTACGCTGTGGTGGCTGGATGCTTCACTGTTCCTGAAAAAGATGAAAATCGTCCAAAATGAATGGGTTTTTATTTGAATGTGATTAGTCACTGTGGAAAAAAACATATAGGTCTAACCACACACACACATACCTGTCGACAGGAATGAACTGAAGCTTTCTCTTGACACATTCCACTGCCTTTCTGTACACAGGAGCACGGCTGTAAGAAGGAACCCCCTGCAACATATTGCAATGATTCTCACTCTGGATATTGATTACTTTGAACTCACATCTAATGAAAATAATAACACAAAAACACCCAAATATTGCTGTTGCCGTAGCTGAAGGGTCTGAGATTTTGTGTTGCAAAATATCTGGTTTCAGGTCAAAAGATACAGCGTGTAGAAAGTAGAAACCTAAGCTACAGCTAACACTGGGGTTTCTATGTAATTGTACCTTTTTGCATATGCGTGTAAGGAACCTCGTGTCGAACATCCTGACTCTATCCTCCGTGGTTAGAGCTATGCAAGGTCTGAAGGTGATGCCAGGGTCAATAGCACTGGACAAAGACCTGGGCAAAGAGCAGGACACACATCAGACAAATTCCCAGTAATGACTTAATGCTCTATTAATCCATCACAAACTCCATCTTCAAGCAAGTTAACAGTGTGCAAGTTCAAATTGTAAGGGTTCAATGAACCACGATGAGCGTTACAGTGATGCAATTAGAGTTATTATACATTATTAATGAGGACCCAATGTAGCTCGGATTCCAATCTTTATTACACAGATGCACTTAAAAGACACAGCAACAATTTGTTTTCTGAAAGAGTAAAAGAAAAAAAGAAACAGATCTTACAAAATATTTACAAAACCTGGCAATGCACAGCATGTTCAGTAACTTCTTTTGTTTGATAAACAAAAATAAATAACCTTTTTCACATAGGAAATTCAAGAAAACGTCAACATGACAAAGAAATGAACACACTAAATATCAATATAATCAACCAGAGAGAAATAACCATGTGGCTTCTGGAAAAACGCTTGAGTCATCGTGGCTTTTATACGAGCAATACGTTTTAATCTGAGTTTAAACCATAAAAGGGCACTATGAAAAACAAATGTTGAGAAGATGTGGTTTAATGTTTCTACAGTAGTTAAGAGAGGAAACATGATTGTTCCACTCCAAATGTTATTATAGATTTTGTCTACAAAAGGTGCCTGTCAAGGGGTCAAGGGTATAATCTGTTTTTAAAGTGTACCCTGGCTATTTCCCTTATGGGCAAAAGTTAGAAAGGCTATTCTCAATCTATGGGTGAGAGGTCATTGGGTCTGCATTCTGCAAGTGGCCTCCTAGTTTCCATTAGTGATTTATTAGCCATTTATTTATCAACTGATTCATCTTTACCTATCAGAACTTCTCAGAGACCCATGTGATGTTCAAAACCTAAAGTAATGCAATTTACTCTCTGACAAAGAAAAATGTGTTTTGCTCTTTTATGCTTCATTTTTTTACCAATCAATTAATGAAACCAAACTGTGTCGTTTTTTGATTTACCGTACTCGTACCGTACAAAACGTGAATTAATTGAACACTTATTTAGTTTTTTCTTATGGCTTTTATTGAGATACCCCTGATGAAGGCAATGATGGAAAACATATTACAATGACAACAATACTTTTTAACTTTTGCACATGAAATGACTTAAAGTAAGCCCATAAGTTATATTGGGTAAGATTTTGTGATGACAGCATGTATTTTCTGATTACCATTGCTATGAGTTTTCTCTGTGGTAAATTAAAAAAGATACATCCACATTTGAAGCATTTGGTCTTAACCCTATATATTTTTTTTATTTTTTTTTGGTCACTTCTTTTTACGTAAAACTTGAAAGATATTTAGCATGATGCTGTTTTTTTCTCCAAAAAAGCCTTTTGATAATCGTACTACTTATTCAGTCTGCCTTCAGTTTGAATATTTAACTGTATTGCTTTCCAAAGGTTTGCTGATATGAAATAACAAAAAAAGTTGCCATGGTGGCAAAGCCATATAAATGTACAAACACATAAAAAAAAAAGCCTGTTTCATCTTATCATATTAACAAACATTCCCTACCGTCCCATACATGAATGAGCTTGACCATAACCTATACTATATTTATAAGCAGGTCACAATTGAGAAACTCATTTTAAATAGAATTCATGATGCTATGGGACATAGAGGCCAAACGAAATACTTACGAATCGGAATAGCCCTGCTTCTGCCCTGGATTTCTGGTGTTGCCTGATTCACAATCTGTCTCGTCTATAAAGTCTTCCTCTTTCCTCTCTAGATGTTCTTCCTTATCGTCTATCTCCATACTCTCACTTTCTCTCTTCATCTCACGTAGCAAGTCCACTTTTTCATTTCCCTCGCTTCTTTCCCTGCTTCGAACCTGGACATGGTTGGTCCTATTAGACTCCAGTTCAACAAACACACTCTTGTCTTTAGATATGTGCACCATACTCTCTGTCTCTCCTTCTATAGGGAACTGAGACCTCTGTGTAAAGGACACTCTTGGATGCTGCCTGGCAGTTGACAAAAGACTCAAACCAGGAGATCTGAACGTGGCATTTACATGTGTCTCTGTGGAGCAGGGCAAAGGAGCTCTGCTGGTCCTTGCAGAGGACCAAACAGTGCCTGGAGTTTGTGATTTGGGCCCCTCGCTTTGATAAGCGGGAGATGCTGATGAAGTCTCGCTGATTTTAGAAGATGTGATATGGAATGGAGTTCGACTAGGCATCCTAGAGTCAGTAATTGGAAGTCCGAAGCTCTGGCGCCACTTGTTTGCCTCAGAGCGAGAATGAGCAATGTTAGGACTCAACACAGGCCTAACCTTCGCAATCTGTGGGGTGACATTGTGGAAGATACCTTTTCCAAAGGTAGGCCTCATTTGCTCAGTTCTAGCCGCCCCCGCCCCGTCTGCTGGCTCCAAAGCAGTCGGGCCGCAGGAGAGACGCGATTGTGCGCCAACAGCAGATATGTCTGGCATCAAACCCTGTGGTGTGGGAAGAGGCTGACTCCAGAAAGGAGATTGTCCTGGACTTGGAATTTCAGCCTGCTGATTTTCCTGTTTAATGTCTCTCTCTTGAAGTGGGGCACAAACCGCCGTAGTACCGTTTCTTGATACATCTTCATCTTTACTTTTCTCCGTGGTTGATACTTTCGCCTTTTCAGCCAGAAACCTTCTGATCTCTAGCTCGATGCTATCGTCGCTGTCCACTGAACTGCTGTCCTCCTTTGTCTCAACAGCAGTCTGTGTATTGTACGGCAACAGAGTGGCTTGAACACCAGCTGTCAATTCACCTTCATGCATATCTTTACTTTTATTGGTTTGTTTGTGGTGTGAAATTCTGTTTTTACTTAATCCAGACTTATCTTTCACCTCAACTTTTCTCTTTTCTACTTTTTTCAGAACTTTTATGGAAATAGGATCAATTTTTAACTTTTTGGTCTCTAAAGTATTTCCCAGCAATGGTTCTCCATCCGTTAGGCTCAGCCTTGATTTCCGCTTAAGATCTCGCTTTTTCTTTGTCTTCTTCTTTGTCTTGAGCAGGTCTTTTATAGCCGTGTCTAGGTCTTCATCACTGTCAAGCGAGCTGCTTTTGTCTCCACTCTGCTCCGTCTCGATTAGTCCAGACATTTGGTGTGTTTGACAACTCTGGGAAACTAATAATGGGCTGGATTCTATTCCACGCTCAGGTGAAGCTTTAGTGGCTGTTTCTTCAACATTGTCATCTGTCCTTGGAGGGTTGGAAATGCTCAGGTTTGCCTCTTTTGCTTTTCTTCTCTGCGTCAAAGACAATTTTAGGGGTTTCTTTTGAGTTGCAACTGGTTCTTCTTTCGCTGTCTCTGGCTCATTTATACTTTGAGGCTCTTGAGTCTTAGCAGTGGGCGGTTGTTTGAGCATTTGGGCCTTCTGCTCAAGAAAATTCTTGATTTCTTGCTCTATCCCATCTTCACTATCAATGGAGCTGCCATCACTTTCTTCATCCGGGCAGTTGCCAGGAGGGGATGATTGCACAGAAGATTCGGTGGGGGTGCAACTGCTATGGCCAACACTATGATGAAAGACTTCAGGCATGACAGTTTTTGAAATGTCCAGTATTGCCTCAGCACACATGAGCTCTGCAGTAGTATTAATTTTCGAAGGGGACGTAGTAAGTTGCTCCTTAAAACCTTCAACTTGAAACAAAAGCAATTCATTTCCTTTACCCTTCGAGCTCCCGGAGAGTGTATTCTTGGGTATGAAAATGGATGAAGAAGGAGTTTGAACAGATTTGACTTCTTTCTCTGCAACGGTCTTCTTCTTTCTCAGTCTTTTTTTCTTCATTGTTTCAGTGCTCGTACTTCCAACAGCATGCAGTAAAGACTTAGTAAAGTGTTTTGGCTTGTGCAAGAATGGATTAAGGACACTCTTATCTTTGAGTTGCTCAAGCTGGTAGGAGCGAATAGCTTCTTCAATCCCATCATCGCTAGTTGAGTCAGACTCTTCTTTTAATGCATGTGGAATGAAGGGTTCTGGTTTGACCTGTTGCTCCTTTTTCTCCAACTGGTATCTTTGAATGGCTTCCTCGATGCCATCGTCACTACTGGAATCATTTGAGTCTTCCTCCACTTTAACTTTGACCGGGCATTTTGCTTTGTTGAAGAGGTTGATTGTTTTCGAGGGGATCTTCATTGGCTCTGGGGACATGACTAAACTTTTGGTTGTTGAACTTTTATTGAAATCAAATGTATTAGCTGTGTTTTCATTTAGGGAGATTTTGTCTTTGATATACTTTTTTATAGGTATAACAGCTGGTGATGTGGGAGTCTCAGCTTTGACACTTTCTGGGAACTGGCTGCTGGCAATCAAAAATGTTTTGTTGTCAGAGTTCTGTTTGGAAACCTCAGGAAAAGGAGGGCTTTTCCTGGGAATGTTGGATGATTCGAGAAAGGTGAAGCATGGTTCCGCCTTGCGTTTGTGATCATCCTTTTCCTTCAAATATTCCAGTATTGCCTCCTCAATTCCTCTGTCCACAGAACTATCGCTGTCAGAGTCACTGCTCTCGTGGTTGATTGGGGAGGAAACATCTGCCTGTTGGTTCTCAGTGGGACTTTTAGTTTTGGACTTAGCCCCCACATAAGAACCCATCGCAACCTTGCACACTTGGGGATGAACTTCCTGTCCTGGTGGTACGTTTCCCTCGATCTCGTCGCCCATCTCGAGTGAGGACTGGGTGCTCCTAAGGCTCTCTATGATCATCTGGACCTTATCTGAGATAGGTGTGCCTCTGGTGGACAACTCTGGGTCAGAGTCATTGAAGCAGACTGGAAGGCTATAGCCTCCAGGTGGGCCACATGTTCTCCATTCTGTTTGCCTCGCTGCGACAGGAGGGACATTCATCAAGTACATTCTAGTGGAGGGGGGGTGAGGTCCTCGACCATTGGAGTGCAGCTGCCTCCAATCAATCACATCGTTCAATCTGAGGAGAGAACAGAAATAGAGAAACAATGACAGGCCCGTCAGACTACATTCAGTTCTTTTTGCTGACTTCAGAAAGTTAAAATAAAGTATATCCAAAAATTTCTTAAAGACAACATAAGATGAAATGTATTAAACAATTGTCGTCATTCTGGCATAAGTATGAAGGAAAATTAGAATGAATTAAAATAAATCCAATAATAACTTTCAGTAGATAGATTTTTGATACCCAATGTCCATTATTTAAAAGGTCTGCAAACAAAGGCAACATTGGGCTTCCCTTATGGCTTTAAGCATGTATAGTAAAGAGAAATAAATACATTTGTATGTATTGCTTGGCAGGTATAATGGGAAACACTGTGGATCACTCATGCTTACAATTTTGTATAAACCTTACACAATACATCTTCCAAATTCTCACTGTTAAGATATTGTAGGAGTAGGAACTGAAGTTAAGGGTTGTTGTAGCTTGGGGTACGTTTCACTTCGGTTAAATGGATTCCTTGCGTCCCTCACTTGTATGGGCTCAGAACAGTCTCATAATACACACATGCACACAGAAGGATTCACACTTGTATTTCATGATCCGCAAAAGGATCCACACTTGTGTTTTGCAATGCACACACAAATGTGTTCCGTTTCATATACATGTAAATAAAATCCAAACACAGAAAAAAGTTTTACATATGTATTTTTGATCCACACATATTTGTTTACCGTTTAAAACCGCTGCACCTACAAACACAAACCGCTTTCTGTGCATGGATCGCTGTGCATTCGTGTGTGGGTTTTTTGAGACTCCCCTGACGGTCACCCGATTCGTACTTGTCATTTCTTTCACCTATAGCCAATCAGATGTCTCCTCCAGTCTAAGCCAATCACATGAGCGCGCCCCCACGAGGGTAGGATTTCTTGCGTTCATGACACTTCATATACGCATTTTGCGCTGTCCGAGCAGGGTTTCCGCGGACAGAATTTATTTTACCGGACAAATTTGAAACTTACCGGTCATGTTTCAATAATAATAATAAGAAGAAGAATTGTGTAGCAGAGATTCCGTTAGCAGGTAATTACCGGACTATGACCGGATATGGCTAATAACACGGGAGTAAGGATCATCTCTTTTCCTCTCTCCCTCCCTCTCTCCTGACAGCCCGTCAGTTTCTCATGCAGCTCGCTAAAACTTCACTCACGTATCCATATCGATCAGATCCAGCTCTCCTGATCGGCCTTTATAGAGAGCACCGATCAAACTATTAAGAGTGAATATTAGAGATGGGCGAGTCCTGATTCATCCGGATCATTAACCCGGATCCTAGAAATGAGCTGGTCGTGACGAGTCTCCCCTCTCCATTAACCCGAGTCCTTTGAGTCCCACACTTGGTGTGACGTACAAATTAAAACTATAAATTGCGTCACTCGCTACTCTCTTTATAACATGTAAAATCACATTACAACGTACCCCAGTCCATCTGCCTACCCTTTGGCAAGTAGGATAGCTGCCAGAAGTGATCGTTTGGCTCAGGGGAGGGGACGCGGATCAGTGAAACTTCCTGCAGACTCAGAGGAGCCGACGGCTCCTAACCGTAATAGCATAGCAGATCCAGAGATCCATACTCGTCATGTGCACGAGCATAGCCCCTCCTCCAGCACCCGGCGGCTATATTATGCACGAGTCAACAGCAGACTCGCAGATTCGCAGATTCGCAAATCCTGACTCACTGTGCAAAACATAGCAGACTCGTGCGGACTCGTAACCGTATAGCAGCAGATCCAGAGATCCAGCAGACTCGTCATCATGCACGATTCAACAGCAGACTCAGATTCGCTAAATCGCAAAATGACCTTTTTTTTGTGATCAATATGTTTTATTAAAGCAAAAGACACCACTTTACACACATTTAACACATACAAACTCCAGTATTGCAATGATTACGCAGTCCATGAGAAAATATGGGGGGCATATGATTAGATATAATTATATGTTTAATAATAATAATTGTATAATTAAGACATTTTATATATTCTAACTGTTTTGCAATTTTCTATCATTTGTCATTATTTGTTTCTTTTTGTGTGCTATGTTCAAAATAAACGTTTTGCCAAGTAAGATCCTTATTGGAAATGCAGCTGCAGGCAGGCTCCATGGACCCGTCAGCTCCGGACAGCGCAAAATGCGTACATGAAGCGCTACGTCATGAACGCAAGAAATCTACCCTCGTGGGGGCGCGCTCATGTGATTGGCTTAGAATTGAGGAGACATCTGATTGGCTATAGATATAAAAAATTACAAGTACGAATCGGGTGACCGTCAGGGGAGTCTCAAAAAACCCACACACGAATGCACAGCGATCCATGCACAGAAAGCGGGTTGTGTTTGTAGGTGCAGCGGTTTTAAACGGAAAACAAATATGTGAGGATCAAAAATACATATGTAAAACTTTTTTCTGTATTTGGATTTTATTTACATGTATATGAAACGGAACACATTTGTGTGTGCATTGACAAACACAAGTGTGGATCCGGAAATACAAGTGTGAATCCTTTTGCGGATCATGAAATACAAGTGTGAATCCTTCTGTGTGCATGTGTGTAATATGAGACTGTTCTGAGCCCATACACTTGCGTTGTTTCCCTGCGTTTAGTCCCTCCCACCAGGGAAGCATGGAGAGACGCAAGGAAACCACGAGAAGCAGGGAAATGAGTTTTAAGAGCAATGGGACGTCCTTTCCTCCGGAGCGTCACCTGAAGCGACGTCCGTTTGTGATGACTCCACACAGCTGATCGTCTGACAGCAGCCAGATCAGTGCATGCACTGGAGGATGGTCTGGTAGTTCCTCGATTATTGCTCCTCCGTTATCGCTCCTCCGGCACAAATAAGGCCACTGGGACTCTACTCAAGATGGCGCAGACAAATCAACTTCCGGTGATACCGAGACCGAGGAGCAAGAAATGAAAAATAAGAGAAGTGAAACGCACCCAGGGTCATGCATTTATTACGAAGCACCAACAATGTCAGAGAGAGTAACGGCTGTACTTTAATACAAAGATGCCGTCTAATTAATGTATCAATTACTTTAAATTAAAAATCATTATATGATCATGTTTATCCAATAGGTCTTTGTCTCTTGAACAACCTTTGTCTAATTCAGTTTTAACACCACATTGGATTGGATATTGTTTAAACCCTTGTTGATGAACAGCTTTGACTATGCACACATCAAACTGTGTAATGAAGTACAGAATAAATACGGGTGCACAATATTGGACCTTTGTTGGGAAATTAGTTCCCCGCTAAATGTTGTCTGATTGTCAATGCAGAAAACGAATATTATACAGATTATGTTTTTTCCCTGCGTTGCCTCGAATATAATGGAACAAGGTGGCATTTGGCTTTTAAACAAATAAATGTCTCTCTCAAAACCAAGTAACTCGTGATTTTGCACAGAAAGTACCAAAAGTAAAAGTACTCCTTTTGCAGAATGCCCTGTTTCATAATATTATTAACATTACATTATTAAAATACAATTATTCATGCTTTAATGAGACTAACTAATGTTGAGGCTGTTGAAGGAGGAGTAAAACGACTATTTTACTGTACTGTTGGGTGGCCTAATCTGTGATACAACTTTTTTAATTGATAGTTGATCTATCTTTTGCATTTAGGATCCATCTCAACATCAAAAGTGAATAAAGTTGTTTGAGAAAAGTAGTGAGGTTAAAATAACAATATTTAGCCTTCCTCTGAAATGAAAGGAAGTAAAAGTATTAATACTCAAATACTGGAGTAAATGTAACAGTTAAACACATATTGACTGTAACCCTAACTGTTCCTGTTTCATGGTGCAAACGCAGTTCATGCAAACAAATCGAAAATATAACTGGATACCTGCCAGGCTGCGTAGATATTGAATGGTAAGATGGCACCTGGTGAACCATATACTATAATGAGTCATGTCGAGAGATCAACGATGCAAAAGCCAGTATTGTGCATCCATGTAAATACATGCTACTAGACATTATCCCAGTAGGCTATAGGAGTCGCTATGCAACCGCCTTTAGCCTATTATCTACCCTAATTGTGAATCCTCCCGAACTCTGCACCCTGCAGGGGGATATGGGCATCCCCTCTACAGCCTGACACCAAGTGACAAAATGCACAACTCCTATTATTAAAACCTGCTAAACGTGTAGAAAATAGCAAACCACTACAGGAAACCAGGATGGGTAACCAAAGACGCCCCGCTGAAAAAAATACGCCGAGAAGCAGAAAAAACGAGCTAAAAACGTAGCATAACGTAGTCGTATGCCAACTTTGTTTGACATATCTAACAAAGTTTAACTGCACATTCAAACATAAATGGGTAGCATTTTCTGGATTGCATAAGCAACCGTGTTGTTGGGTGTATTTTCCCTTCCGGACCCTTTCCTGTTTGCGACAAAGAAACCCCGGCTGTCACCGTATCCCTCTAGCGGCACGAACTGCACCGATGCCCGGCGTGCAGCGCTAGGAGACTCCGCAGAGCAACCATGTTTCTTCGTACCGGCCACGGTTGTCAAAACGCTCCGTATTCAGTCGATATCACCTCTAAACGCGAAAAAGTTCCATAAACACGTCTTTATAAAACAGTATGGCTACATATTTAGTGAGAAAATTGAGCAGATGGTGGTGTGAAACGTTGCAGCGATAACCGTGGCTAGTCGGTGACTTGAAAGACACAGGCGGGCCTCCCGGCTGCTGCAGCCCCGGCATTTTCTCCGGCAAAGAAAGCCTTTGTATTGAGCCACAGCTTACCCTCCTAGCCTCGGCTATTTCGCACAAAAACACAAGCGTAGAAGTTTAACTCACCTAGATATGACACAAAACAGCTCTACGGTAAGATTGTGTTCAGTGCTGCGTGAATTTTAGGATGTTTGTAGTGTCGTCGTGGAGATATTTCGGGGTCCGTCGCCAGCTCACACAGCGCCTGAAGCTCGATCCGTCGAGTCTCCCTCCGCTGCAACTGCCGGGCGGACCAGCTTCCTTAAACCCAGAGTCCAGCCAAGCATGGCCCCTTTCAAACGGCATCACACCACCGGAAGACATGCACGCTTTCATTTTAAAGTACACTCTGCCATTACAAAAACACACAGGGATGGGATACGTTTGATTACATTTAGTATTTCTGCATTAAAACATGAAAACTGGCTTTTTCGGGAACAATTTAGTGTAGCCTACACTACAGGTGGAAGAAGTAGCCCACTTTACGTAAATAAACAAAGATAAAATAAGTAGAAATTCGCTGTCGACATCAAAAGTACTGCATTCAAAATATTATAGTATCTTATAGTAGGTTAGCATTATCATGCAAATAGTATAGTGTACTTAAATACGTCATACAATCTTACTTTTAAGTATAAAAGTAATTAAAACTTAAAGGCTACCAAAAGTAATTTAGGTCTACTCATTTTGCAAAACGGCCTATTTCAGTATAATATAGGCTATATAGGCCAATATATTATTTGATCATAATCATTGATGCACTAATGTGCACTTTAATGTTCAGAGCTCTGCTAATGGTGAAACATTGTTTTTTTTACTATAGGCCTACTGCCAGTTAGTTAGTGAATTTCACAAAGGTAAAGTTAACCACAACCTATAATAATATATGGCAATTCATTTGCTGATTGCATTTTGTATTGTTTATCTGAATCTTCAAAGTAACTGAAGTTATTAAATAAGTGTAGTAGAGAAAGTAGTTAGATCCAATTAATAGAAGTATAATGTTGCAAGTGTAAATACTTAATAGGTACAAAGTACAACATCTTACCTAATTACGTAAATGTACTTAAATACCACTATACCACTATACACCACTGCATTAGTATTATGCAGAATTGCCCTTTAAAAAAGATATAGCTTTTATATAACATCATTTATCATATGAGCACTAATGATGCTGTGATTTACTATCGTGCTGCTTTACATTTTAAGAATGTTGTGTAATATTTGTATAATACTTCTACTACTGGAGGCGTGTGGCGCAGTGGGTTAGTGCGTTGGAGTTCGGATCAGGGGAGCACGTGGTTCAAACCCCACTGCAGTCAGCATGTCGTTGTGTCCCTGGGCAAGACACTTCACCCCAAATTGCTCCTGTGAGGATTGCTCACAGTATTGAGTATGTAAGTCGCTTTGGATAAAAGCGTCTAACAAGTAACATGTAATGTAATGTACTACTAAAACAGACCAGAGGAAGACTAAATAAAATGCCCACAAAAAGCCTTAAAACATAGTAAAAGGGAAAAAAATAGTGTTTGTTGTAAAATGATCAGATGTTATCTCTTCTCTGTAAACTGTACTGTTCTGTAGGCTGATACTTTAAGTGTGAATCTATACGCCTACTGCCTGAATCTGCTTTAGGGTTTTCACTTTCTTTGGTTCATTTATTATATTTTTTAATTCAGTAGGTGAACCTATATGTTCCAACAAGTCCTCCAACTCATACGACCAAATATGTAGTTTGTTCAAGCGCTTATTACGACCTATAATCACGTTTTAAAGTTTTCGACCTCTAGTGCTCCCGTTGATTGCAAACGTTACAGAGGGTAGTTTATTCACAAATAACCCTCTCTGTAAAATCCTAAATTGTAGGATAGTTGGCCATTAAAATGCTTTTTGATTAGATTTCTAGCGAGAAGTACATATTGTACTTTTAGAATCCACGTCCAGTCGATATGTAGGATCTATAGTTTGATAGATATTACGAAGATGATTTGAGGTAAGCGGCAGCTTCCATGTAAAGTTACGGGGTGAAAACAGTATTTCCGGTCTCAACGTTTTCATAATAAAACCAATGATCAAATGATTTAACAGTGATATCTGCAGTACTCATCCACTAAAAAACATCAGTTTATCCTTGTTAATTATACAACATTAATTGGTTTAAATTGTGTACAATGCTTTTGTGTTTTTCCCATAGGTTTTTCTCTTTCGATTCTGAGAGACACATTTATTTTTTCAGAGGTTTTGCTAAAACATCGAACAACACCCATAATCCTGGATGTTTTAGCCGCAATGCACGTCGGGATATGGTGTTTATGCGATATGACATTTTAAAAATAAAATAATATTTTATTCCGAGTGTTCTTGCTTTTCTCTTTGGAAGTCATCACATAAAGGTGTAATACACGGTTCGGCTGCATTAAATATTACACATCTGCCGTAGTTCTTTATTTATAGAGCACTGATGAGAAGACTTCTGGACAAACAGGAAGAACTGCCGCCGAAACTGAATATGTGACATGGATCATAAATATATCAGCAATTAAACAACATCTTCCATTTCTTTTCACACAATACGTCTCCTTGCAGTAAGTATCAACACTAATTCGGCTGACTTTTATATTTGATCCAATTAGTAGATAGGCTATATTTACACTACAACGGTGCACAGCTGATAGAAAGGGACTTGTAGTTTTTAAAGATATTACTGATTTACTGAACTACCTTTCCAACTCCTCTGTTACAGGTCTATACAGGTTCATGGTACAATGCATAAGCTTCAAATCGAGAGACTGAAACTGTATTTTCCTTTACCGTTCTGTTTTAATTTCACAATAAAGTTAATAGTCATATTATGTTTGATATTATTATGTTTTATTAACTAGACCACTGTTTTTTTAACCCGCACCGCCTAGTGGTTAAAGCACGTTATTGAATTTTGTTGTTGAATACGTTTTATTTTATGAAAACATTTAAATATTAAGAGTAGCCTACACACAAAATAGGGGGAAAGTAGAAGGCATGATAGAAATATAGAATAGAAAATATCAAGAAGATACTGTAGTGATCTCTACAATAAAACAACTAGTGGAGGACGTCCAAAGATATTAATAGGAGGATGTGCAAAACAGACAAACTAATAAGGCTTTATTTAAACATTAAAGAATACTTTAAGTTAAAGGGGACCTATTATGCAAAATGCACTTTTGTACGTCTTTTATACATGAATATGTGTCCCCGGTGTTCCAGGGAACTCACCAAGTGTCAGAAAACACAACCCTCTCTCTTTTCCTCCATACCCAAATCTCTAAAAACGGGGCTGCAACGGATCTGATACAGACTGATCCAGATTTGAACATTTCTCTGACGTCAGGACGGAGGAGCTCCGCCTATATGGCCAACTCTCCACCTATCAGGGGAATGAGAGGTTGCCGTGGCATGGTAACAGCATGGTAACACGACGCTCGTAACTCGGCCCCCTCCTTTGCAGGGGGGCGTGGTCAGCTGCAGCGCCTGCAAAGACAGGGTGGAGGAGAGCAAAATAGAGGGAAATGAGGCATGGCTAAAATGCATGATCTGTTTGGTATTTTGAAAAAGAAAACGTATACATATACCTTATATACAGTAGGTATGGCCCTACAATATATTATTCAAATATAGCATGATAGGTCCACTTTAAGGTCTTCTTTTGAATAAGAAAAAAACGTTGGGGGTATCCACAGATAAATATTAAGTCTGACAAAGTACTTAACGTCTAATATATTGCATAGTTTATTTTGGCACTTGACAATCACCTTCCCTGCATTTGACTCAGGTGTAACTAAAGTCTGATTTAAGGGTTGTTTATATTTCACATCATTAATCAGAATCTGCAAAGTAACTAAAATAAATGTAGTGGAGTAAAAATACCAGGTTAACCTCTGAATTGTAGTGGAGTAGAACAAAGTAGTACATGCTGCTGTAACAAAAACATTTCCCAACTTGGGATCAATAAAGTATATCTTATCATATCTCATTTTAAGATGATCGATGGCTACTGCCATATTTGCAAAATTTGCCTCTGAACCTTGACAAGTGCATGTTTCAGGTTTATCAATTCACAACAGGAGGGGTCACAGACATAAGACCAGCTGTTAAATAAAGCTCTTCTGACCTTAGCTGTCATGTGGGTATATATTAATGCTGGCCATTATGGACACAAGCAATTTTCACCCATTTATTAATTATATGTTTTAAATTTGATAACACCACTGTGTTTCGTATCCCCTAAACCTCCTGGGGTGTAAACAGTTTAATACTGGCAACTTCTAATTGTGGGAAATACGAAAACGTCTTTTAAAACTACAATTCCCAGTAGAGATGTGCCATAGAACATGTTGCGAAACACACAATAGCCAGCATGTGTAGTTCTGGGGGGGAGGGCTGGGCTGGACCCGTCCAAGTCCAGTTTTGGATAGTCTGCCGTGGTTCCATTCCATTTCAAAGAGCTGTTTGACGCTCGGCGTAACCTTGTCGCACTGCCACTCCAACATCCAATCACAGAGCTTGAGGACTAATCACGGGGTATGTAAAGCAAGGCGGATGTTGTAGTCCCAAACGATAGCTGGGGATTCTGGGTAATGTAGTGTCTTCGGAAACTCTGTAGTGTCTAAACTCCGAAAAAACTATTTGTTTCTCCGAATCGAAGGTTACAAACACAAAAGCATTGTACACAATTTAAACCAATCAATATTGTGTCATTAACAAGGATAAACTGATGTTTTTTAGTGGATGAGTAATGCAGATATCACTGTGTAATCATTTGACAGTGAGGAGAATACTTCTGGTTTTATTATGAAAACTTCGAGACCGGAAAAACTGTTTTCGTGAGGGTTGACGCTAACTTTACATGGAAGCTGCCCCATATACACGTTCTCCTGGCGAGACCTCAAATCATCTTCGTAATATCTATCAAACTATAGATCCTACACATTCACTGGACGTAGATTATAAAAGTACAATATACACTTCTCGCTAGAAATCTAATAAAAAAGCATTTTAATGGCCAAACTATTCCACAATTTAGGATTTTCCAGAGAGGGTTATTTGTGAATAAACGACCCTCCGGAGCGTTTGCAATCAACGGGAGCATGTTGTTTCTTACACGACCACTAGAGGTGCTACACTTTAAAACGTGACTCTGGGTCGTATTAAGCTGCTGAACAATCGACCTATAGAGAGGCGAAGTCCCACCCATCTACTTCCGACCCATGGGACCTTATTTCGGAAAAAA